AGAATCAACATAACAGATGATCTCCAAGTGGTCTGATTTCCTATATGTGAGCATGTAATCTTTTGTTCTTTGCAAATACCGCATAACTCATTTGGTTGTCTTCCAATGATCATCCCAGGATTATTTAAATATTCATCTAGCATTCCAACAATGAATGCTATATTCGGATGCATGTATACATGAGCATACATTAAACTCCCAATTGCTGAAGCGTAGAGAATTTTCTGCATCTCTTTTACTTCAAGGTCATTCTTAGGGCATTAATTGAGATTAAATTTGTCTCCCTTAACAACATGGGATCACCTGGTTTGTAATCATGCATCACAAATCTCTTACGTACTGTATTGATATAGCTCTTTTGTGATAATCCAAGAATACCGCGAGAACGATCCTGATGTAATTGAATCCCTAATACAAAAGAGGCGTTACCAAGATCTTTCATTACAGAATTCTTTGATAGAAATCTCTTGATTTCGTGCAATAAGCCCATATAATTGCAGACAGGCAGTATGTCATTGACGTAAACTACCAGGAATATATACTTACTCCAACTGAACATGTGGTATACGCAATCATCAACCACATTGATCTCAAATCCGAACGAGATGATTATTTGATGAAATTTTTGATACCATTGACGGGAAGCCTACTTAAGCCCATAAATAGATTTTTTTAATTTGCAAACAATTTCTTCGATTCTACTGATACAGTTTTTCGGTTGCATCATATATATTGTCTCATCAATATCACCATTGAAAAATGTCGTATTTACATCCATCCGATGTCGCTCAAGGTCAAAATGTGCTACAAGTGTCATTATAATCCTAGAAATTGGGGAAAAAGTCTATTTATAATCTATGTCCTCCCTTTGAGTAAAGCCCTTTGCAACAAGATGAGCCTTATATCTTTCCACGTTACCCTTCAAATCCCTCTTAATTTTATATATCCATTTGTAATTAATGAATTTTGTACCTTCGGCAGTGGGACAAGTTCTCGAATGTCATTGTCTTTCAAGGACTTTATTTTCTCATTCACGGCATCAATTCACTTTTGAAAATTATTACTTTTCATTGCTTGATGAAAGTTGATATGATCTTCTTCCATCAATCCAATGCCATCTTCATGTTCTTGGAGAAATATTATAAAGTCATCTGAAATTGCTTTTCTCCATTCTCTAGTGGATCTCATTAATGACATTTGTTCTTGAGTTTGTTCTTCTAGAACAATCTCTTGATTGTTTATAGGGGGTTCTGAAATATTGTTCGATTTGAAATTGCTTCTTGAATAAGATTTGAAATAAGAATTTGTCCTGATCATTGTCAATTGTAATAGGACAGATGTTTATATGTTTATCTTCAAAGACAAAACCCATAACTTTATCTTTTCCCACAAACTCCACTTCTTCAAAGAACCGGACATTTCCAGTTTCGAAATTGATTTGGTAATGGGATCATAAAATTTGTAACCCCTTAACCTTTTAGAGTATCCAATAAAATAGCAACTGATAGTTCTAGAATCCAATTTCTTTTTCGATGGCCTATAAAGTCTTGCCTTAGCTGGACAACCACAAATGTGTAAGTGCTTCAAACTAGGCTTGTTACCCGTCCAAAACTCATAAGGGATTTTTATAGTTGCTTTTCTTGGAACTCTATTAAGAATATAAGCTACAATTTTTAATGCTTCTCCCCAGAGAGATTCTGGTAAGGTGGAATGACTAATCATATTCCTTACCACGTCCTTAAGTGTTCAGTTCCTTCTTTCAGCAACATGATTCACGCTAGGAGAACCTACATGGCATACTGTGAGACATTCCACATTTCTCTAAGAATTTAGAAAAAAGGCCTTGGACGTTGTTCTCTGATCTGTCATATCTGCCATAGTATTCACCACCACGATCGGAACTGAAGTGTTTTATTCTTTTACTGAGTTGATTTTACAGATATTGTAGAAGCAAAATAGTTAACTGAATAGAGAATACAACAAAAGAAATATGTTCACATTAGAATCCGTATTAAACAATTAATTAATTCAAATAATTGTTAACCACACCACAAGAGATCAGCACAACAATGATATTTAATCTTTGAATAGAAATATCAACTTGTAAGTAGTATTCTTGGTGTAGCAATCAAATATTAACAATAAACTATGTCAAACAATAAACCTATATTTAGATCGATTTATTGTTCACATAAAACAATACCTTAGAATTGTCACATATTTATTACCATAGGTGTGAATATAATTCGACCAAATATTTACCTTTTTTTGGGCCGGTGAATATCCGCACGAATTACAAACACACAACCTTCCTAATATTCCAAAAAATTAATCTAGACAATAGATGTTAATTTTATAACATGTTTCTTCAATTAATTTATTTAGAAAAATTAGTAATTAAAAAAAATTATTTTAATACCAAGATTTGAATTATAATTGTTAATTCCTAATTATTTTAATTTTATTTTTTATTTTGTTTTGAATTTAAAAAAATAAAAATAAAAACAGTAAACAAGAGCTGCAGCGCCCACAATCACGCCGGATGATGGTCGTCGCAGCGCTGCGGTGATGCCGTAGAGCTGGAGAATTTACCAAAAAAACCATATTTTGAAATCTAAGGTTTGAAATTCACGTCCCAAAATTTTTAGAAAACCTAATTATGAATTTCAATCCTAAAATTCTTCCTTTAATTTCAATGTTTTAACATGGATTGATTTTGATACCACTTGTAGAATTTTGCATGAACCTTAAACTTAATAAACTTTACATAATTGACAAGACCTCCATATCAAATCACCATGAAATTTAATTAATGCGGAATATACATTGATCCATTGATATGTATCTTGAATACTGAATCTTGAATTTAGATATTTAAATCTTGATTTCTTGTTTATAATTTTTTATTCTTGATTGTGGGTTTATGATCTTTTTCTTCAATATGCTTTCTCCATTAATTCTTGTGTTGATGTGATGACACAAAGAGAGAGAAAATTTCATATAAATTGGGGACCATAACCTTATATATAGTTTCATATGTATTTGCCCCATCGTCAAATACAAACCCTAATAGATCCGATCTCTACACATATAATACGGCCCACACTTTATTTAGATGCCCAAATCTCAATTACTTAATTCTTTATTAGATCACTTTAATTTTGAGCTTAACTTTAAGATAGATTTTATACACAATTAATTACATATATCGACCCACATGTAAATTAAATTATTTCCCAACAAGAGGATGCAACACTTCAACCGTGTTAGCCCTCATTTCTTCAGCCACAATTGTTAAGAGAAACCTAGAAAGAAGCAGCATAACTTTTAAGATTAAGCTAGAACCTATTTCACTTTCTTGCTTGTAGTTAATTCCCTATTTGGTTACTGGTAGAGTTTTGGATGTAGTGTTTTATGGTGGAGGTAGGCGGTGGTTTATGGTGGATTTGGGTGGACGTATTTGGTGGCTGTGGTGGTGTCAAAGGTGGTCGATGGTTGTTGCATTGCAATATTCCATAAAAATGGTTAATTAGGTCTAAAATTGAGAACCAAACAAGAAACAAATAGTAGTATGTTTGAGCACTCAAAATTTAACCATTTAAACTTAAGTAGATCGATTCAAATCACGGGGTTCCATTAGTTTCTGGCACAGTCGCCAGCTTCTATAGTTTAGGCTACGCATATATCCAACCTGGATTCTTTTGCTGGTTTTGTTATTTGTACGTCAGGATTAACAACTTTGTGTACATTCTCCTCACAAAAGAGGAAGGTTCACAAATTTTTTGTTGGATGTGAGCCCCGGGAGATGAACATGGGGTGTCACGTATGGCAAAGTCCTTTTGCTGGCCTATAGTCCAATCGTAATCCAACTGCCACCAAAAGGCCAAGCTTTTCTTACAGCTGTCCCAATCAAACCTAGTTTTCCCCGAACCAATCCAACGAAGAAAAGAAACGAAACGACAAATCCTCGTACAATCAATACCATAACTAGATAATACTAAAATCATAGATAGAGTCTTATTGCTGTCACTCGTACGTGCACCCAGCTCACCCCGCATCGCACATCCATGCACCCACTCTCTCTCAATAGGTCTCCACTTTCTCTCAGCATATACATACACATGTACATATATATGTTCTCTTCACTGACTATTAGTCTCTCCCTCTTCAACTCCTGAATTATTACAGAAATGGATCCATGTCCTTTTCTTCGGATTGTTATAGGAAATCTTGCTCTAAAATTTCCTGATCGTCGATCTTTTCCGTGTTACTGTAAATTCAGGCTTAAAGGGTTTCCTACTCAGGTTTCAGGTATTCCATTGCCAGTTCAAGAAAGTGATGCTGTTGAGAGCAAAATCCATGCTTGTTTCAGTTTGAGCAAACCAGAAATGGAGAAACTAACAGGAAAATCGAGAAATACATCTGGGAAATTACCCTTTTTGAAGATTGAGATTTACAGGGGGAAGAGAGAGCATATATACAGTTGTGGGTTTATGAAGAGAAAGAAACTTCTGGGGTATGTTGTGGTGCAATTGGATTTGAAGGGCTTTATTGAAAATAATAATATTAGTAGGGGCAGTAGTGTGATTCAGAATGGCTGGGTTTTAATTTGTGGGTCTGAAGCAAAGTTGAATTTGAACGTTAGGGCTGAACCTGATCCAAGATTTGTGTTCAAGTTTGATGGGGAGCCAGAGTGCAGTCCACAAGTTTTTCAGGTCCATGGGAATGTTAAGCAGCCTGTTTTTACTTGCAATTTCAGTTTCAGGAATTCTGGGGAGAGAAATTTGAGGTGCTGCAGGTAAATAGTTTTGTTATTGATTTGAATTCATGGAACTATTTTTAACTTGATTTTGATCAATAATCAAGACTTTTAAGTTTATAGATTAGGGAAACATTTGGCTTTTGTATAATCTGGTGTATAAAAGGGATTCTCAGAGATTATGTCTTCCATTACACGAGCAATTCTGTTGAACCCCGTTAGAGTCTAATCATACTCTACACTTATGTCTCAACCACAGATCACTAATATTCATACTGATTGGTTATGCACAATTGATCAATGCATACCTAATACCTTTAATTGCCAATCAGCATAATCTTTCTTCAACTGGTCCCTAATTCTCGAATCGTTGAACAGCTATACCTTATCAGAACCAAGTACCTCAACTAGTTGCTTGAGTTCAATCACATCTGATAAAGAAAAGCCGATGAAAGAGATCAGAAAGGGGTGGTCGATCACTGTCCACGACCTCTCTGGCTCGTCTGTAGCCGCTGCATCAATGGTGACACCATTCGTGCCATCACCAGGCACCGATAGAGTGAACCGATCAAATCCAGGAGCATGGCTCATTCTTCGACACTGCCACAGCACTTGGAAGCCTTGGGGGCGCCTCGAGGCCTGGCGGGAGAGCAATGGCAGTGATGTCCTCGGCTACCGCTTTGAACTCATCTCTGAGGGCGGCATAGACACCATACCACTAGCCAATTCGACTATTAGTACAAAAAATGGTGGGAAATTCAGCATTGGTGTAACCACTGGTTCAACCCCAATGACTAGTCCTAATAGCAGCTTTGATCTTAGTTCAGGGTCCGGTTCTGGATCAGAATTCGGATCAACGACAGGATCTGGATCTTGGGCACATATGTTCTACAGAGGCTTTGTCATGTCAGCTACAGTCGAGGGTGAAGGGAAATGCAGCCGGCCAGAAGTGGAAGTCGGGATGCAGCATGTTACATGCATGGAGGATGCAGCAGCTTTTGTAGCACTGGCTGCTGCCATGGATCTAAGCATGGATGCTTGTAGATTATTCTCTCATAAACTCAAGAAAGAACTGAGACAATTCGATCTCGAATAATGCTATTTGTGCTGCATTCGGGATTTGATTCTTGGATCTGCAATTTTAGCTGGTTTTTTTCTCACGTACAGTGTTTTACAGGTGTGTGTTTTTTTGCTATTAGTGTAACTGTCTTCTTTGTTCATAGAATGGAATTCTAAGTTTCTGCTTATTGGTACGAAATTGAAAACATTGGTTTCTGTAACTTTGCACTAAAACTGGGTAGTCAAGTCGTCACCGGCATTAAATCGATAACCTCGAGCTGAGAGTCAAAGCTCCGAGAAAACAGAAGTTATTGAGCTCATTCGCTCAAATGGAATGTCGGGACAGAGAGGCCGATGCTAGAGTTAAGGCAATACAGTGTACTTGAAGCCGGACCACACCACAACACCAAGGCGCTAAAGAAGAATGTCTTGTTACAAAATTTGAAAATAATCAAATTGAATTGTTCTTCTTGAGTCCATCTATTTTCCACCTTTTAGCTTGGTAGGTTTTCATTCACTTTTCGAAATGGGGGTGGTTCATGGCTAGGGCACACGGTCCTCATTAGAGTGGATCAAACCGAGTATAATTGAGAATTCTACATATGAACTGTTTGTTTCTTTGCATAGCGATAGAACCGAATCGGACGAGAGTCATAGCCAAGTACTAACTAGCTTTGCTTTTTCATCCATTGGTGGTAGGTGTTGTGAAAAACAGTTTCTCACACTTTCATGATGTGCAATTTGATGCTACAATCCTATAAACCAATAAAATGCGACCCGTGCCGAGATTTCATTTGGCAGTTTTCCGTGCGATGGCCCGGGATTAGTGATATTTCGGCATGGACGCATTTTAACAAACTTATGGGAATTATGTAGAACCTGGTAGTATAAGTATTGAACATGAACTCAGTCCTGCAGTTTTCCTTGCGAAAGCCCGGGACGAAGGGGTACTTGTGATATTTCAACATGGGACGCATTTCACTTGGCAGTTTTCTGTGCGATGTCCCAGGACGAAGGGGTACTCATGATTTTCGCCATGGGATGCATTTTAACAAACTTATGGGAATTAAATAGAACTTGGTAGTATAAGTATTGAAACATAAACTCAGTTCCCATCTCCAGGAAACAAACTTAAAATCAAGGAAAGAATAAAGAGAGAACAAGGGAGCAAAACTCCAACATAAAAAGAAACAAGATATTGATTATACAGATTAAAACCTTAAAGAACATACCCTTGACTACGTTTTACCAGCAAAGTCGAAATTGTAGTTTCCACACAGTGATTGGTACTTAACACAAACAAACACCACGTTTGCAAAATCAGAAGGGAGGGAAAACTTCAGCACTGACAGACTAATCTAATCTATACATTCATTCTGCTGCAGCATCTTCGATGCTAGTTCCTGCAGTTTGTATATCCGGAAGGGTTTCAAGATCTGTGCGGACATCTTTCTCGTCCAAGGAATTGGATGAATCAGATGAAATGATGGGGTCATGTTGAACTTCCTCAGAAGTCTGGTCAGAGAATTCATCTGTTCCGCCATAGGTATCTGATTTATCAACCTCAGTAGCATCATTCTTTTCTGTTAAAGATTCAGTCTTATTTCCTGCTTCTACAGATAACTCCGATCCGATATTTTCAGATACAGATGACTTTGAATTATTAGATGAATCAGAGAACTCTCCCAAGCTTGATTCCGAGTCTTTATTTTTGACAAGAAGTGTTGAATTAGAATCAACATGATTATTATCCTCATCTGAAGAGGAGTTATTGGCCTCCCCTGATGTTGTACCCCCAACAGACACGTTCTGACCATGATTTAATTCCAACTTGCTCCCGGTTCCATTCAGCAAGGACGGATCATGACTCTCCATTCTCACCTCTGACAAGTTGTTGCTTGTTTCTCTATGATCAATGGTCCCTTCTGTTAATGTTGTATTTGAAAGTGAGCTGTTATCAAAGTTTTCTTTCTGATTCTCCTCTGCTTCATTGGTTGTCACATTGAACTGATTGTCACTTTTAGCCACATCGCCATCCTTCACCTCTAAATCTGTTCTTTTGTCACCTAAACTGATTCCCTCACCGCTGTTCTCCTTCTTTTCCCGTCCAAAAATGTTGGTTTTGGGCTGCTCCTTAGTGTTTTCTAAGCTTCCATTCTCGTTTTCAGGATCTATGACTTGATTATCATGTGCCACGGCACTAGAAGCATCGTCAGCCTTGTAATTTTCCTCACGTGCACTATGTTCATCTCTATCATGATCATTGTCCTCCAAACCTTCCTTCACCGTTTCACCATTATTCTCGTCAGAATATTTTTCTTCTGTGCTGTTCTCATCACCCTCATGTCCTTCCTTCTCTTCGTCTATAAATTCCTCTTCTCTATCAATTTCTGCATCCGATTTCACATGTTCGTGCTCATTTATCTCGTCCCCTTCACCTCTTGTCCCTTCATCTTCTTTCTGATCGGCTTTCTTGATTTCTTGCTCATCTTCTTCATGCTTATTGTCTTCTACTTCTTCTTCAATGGTTTCCTGTTCTATTGCTGCTTCATCATGTTTCCCTTTCTTAGTAACTGTTTCTTCCACTCGAGGGCGGATGTCTTTCCTCCCAAGTGTTAAAATTTCATTGCTACTTGCTCTATTAAGTGAAGTTTTCGAATCACTTTCATCGAATTCTTTCTTCTTATCATGGGAATGCTTGACTTGGTATATCAACCAAAAGCAAACAGCAAGCAATAAACAAATTTGCAGAACATGCTTAATCTTGATTCCCTTGGATCTCTGGGTCCTACTAGGGGACTGCCTGTACATAATGACTCGTGCGAAATGTATACACTTATTCTCACTGCTAAATCAAGTGAAACCTGCCAGGACAACAAAACATATTAAGCAATCTAACGTTAATCTGAAACGAGAAATACAAAACATATCAATCAATTCGAGATGTTCAATTCATCAACTCCATATCTAGAAATCAACTATGCCAATGGTGATTTCAAGTATAATATAGGAAATCTAGCCGACTCTGGAAGGATCAAAAATCATCCCATCACAAATTAATGGGGGTGTGGGCGTGGCCCCAAAATTTTTTAGCAAAGTGACTCCTCTCAGATGTCAACCCACAATGCTTATGCCATAGGGCAAGTTCAAAAAATCTAATGGTTCTATGATCACGTTGGATAATACCACTTATAATTCTCTCTGGTACAGTTGTTAATAAATTTGTTGCCCAGAGTATTGACTGGCTAGACTACGTGATTCATATATTTGGCAATTGGGTTAGATCAATGGCTTAGGACAAATTAATTATTTATTCATCTATTTTAATGATAATTTTTATTTTTCTCTATCTTAGGGGGGAAGGGTTTTGCTGGCTAGAAATGGTTCGGGTTACAGACTATGTATACTATGTTTCCAATCTGTCTCATTCATATGTAGAATAATTAAAAGAAACACTAGGGTGAGCATGGGGGAGAGCAAGGTTCATGACACACACGGCTATTCAATTGCCCAGACAACATTTTTCTTCATAAAAATGTTTCTTTGCTAAACTCTCTTTCACTCTCTATTCCACGTTTCTTCATTTTCTCCTTCATATATACCGGTTTCGTCTTATCAATATATGTAAATGTAATACAGATATAATTTATTGGTCTCACAAATGTACTCAGTGCTGCTACAACATCTATGCAGCGCATGCATATAAAAAAAATAAAAAAACTTTGCCCAGAGTCATGTAAACATTAAGGCCAACCTCAAGCACCCATAAGCGCCATAATAAATAAAAGATCATATTTCCCTTTTTTTTTTTTTGGTGAGGGGTGGGGATGGTTTGTAAATTCTAGGATAATAGCAAACTAAAGACGTCCATTCTTTGAGACAAAAAGGAAACAGCAGTTGGTTTTTTTCCTCGTTTACAATGGAGACTATGCCCAATCTCATTTAGGGAATGAAGAAACTGTAGACCGATTTTTGCTACAAAAACTATATGTCACAAACCCAAGGGCAGGGCAAGAGCATATAGCCAAGAGTGTGTTTGATGCACATTAAAATGGAAAGAATGCATTTTTTTGTGATGTGATGGTGAATATGTAGTTGAAAAAGAAGGACAAGTTATTGATGTGATGGAAAATATTATTTTATTGCAGAATATATGGTTGAAAATGAGTAGAAGAATGAAAATGAAAATGAAAATGAAAATGACAATGAGACTCAAATAGGGGCTAAGTCTCCCAACACTGATCTAACAACTATAATAAAAAAATTCTAGGATAATAGGAAACTAAAGACATTAATTCTTTGAGACCATTCTCTTTTATGCAAGTATATTTAGATTGTTAGAAATTGTCACACACTCTCTATGGAATTTTACCAACTAGGCTGTCCACCCCAATAAAATCTTCTAACTCCCTTCTGTCCCCAGGACACAAGTCTCCATCTGTTTCATACAAGTAGTATGTGTCGTTATTTCGCAACTCCTGCCATCTGAACTATCCAAACTAGGAAAGAAAACGTTTCAATTATCTTCACAGTACTTCGCTTAAGTGAACAATGCTACTACAGAATTGACCAATTACATCGTGGGGTTGACACCCAGTCTCTTTTATGAAAGTACTTTTTAATTGATCCAAGGGATCTTTCAGAAATTAATCCTTTCTCTATATGGTACCCGGGAACACAATTCAATAAACAAGTCCTCAACTCTCTCATACAACTAATAGGTGACATTATTTCCCAAATCCTGCCATTTGTATTAGTGAAAAACAAATGCTAACTTTTTTATAATCTTCCTTGTACTTTAATGAAGTTCAACAATGCAAAACAGAGGGGTTAACACCCAATCACTTTTATGCCAGTATTTTTTGTTCCATAGAGATCATCCAAAGTGGCCATTTCTCTATAGGAGTTTTACCGCTTTGCCGGGGACAGACCCCAATAAAACCTTGTCACCTTAAGGTTCCTCTTGGTCACGAGTCTTATCTCTTCATACTTGTTAGCGGCCATTATTTCCCATCCTACCGTTTAAATTATTCAAACTGAAAATATGCGAACTTTAAATTATCTTGTCTAATTACAATGAGGAACTAATATTTTATCTCCTTCATGCAAGTCTTTTTGATTGAAACATAAAGATTTTCAGATATTGGTTATTGGTCCTTCCTCTATATTGAATTTTGTAGCCCCGCCAGAGACAGAATCCTTAACCCCCCACAGTCACGAGTCCCCATTCTTTCATACAAGTATTGGATATCATTATTTCCCAAACCCTGTATTTGTATTGTCCAAACTAAGAGATGTGAACTTTTCAATGGTCTTCCTAATGTGCAACAATGCTATTACAAATTGTCAGATTTTGAACAGAGTACAAATATTTTCAAACATATAAATTCCACACGGTCAATTTCATTGACAACTTTGTCTTAAATTAAAAACAAACAGAGAGAGAGAGAGAGAGAGATTTAGGACATTAAATTTGATAAATTAATTGGCGATCCCAAGCGTTAAATACCAAATCCTGCAGGGTACCCTAGAAAGTTAAAGCATTAATTTCACTAATTAGAAACTCAACAAAATAAAATAACAAATCCTGCAGGGTAAAATCAAAGAAACCCTAGAAAGTTCAAGCATTAATTTCACGCATTAGAAACTCAACAAAATATAAGTCAAAATCCTATCTTAACAAAAAAATACCCAAAATCCCTAACCAAAAACCATTAATTAGCAGCAATAAATCAATGACAGAGTCCCTCAATCCACCCTAACTCACTAGTTACAATTTCGGTTAAACACTCACCCAAAAATTACACAAATAATACCATAAGAAAGAGAGATACCTGAGGAAGATTAAAGAGAAGGTCTAAGCAATCTCAGTATAGAAAACGGAAAATGGTCAAAGAAAAAAAAAAAAGGCTTCGTAGTGGAATCGAACTATTTGAGAAGAACTTGTAATTGCTTAATTCGAAGTGTTTGCGTGGACGAACGCGCCAATGGGGCCTTGACAGCTCTCTTCCACTCTGTCTCTCCGTGCCTCTCTCCTGTAGGAGGTCGAACTTTCAAGAGAGACTGAGAGGGAGAGGACTCTTTTCGGGTTCTTACTGGAAAAGATTTGGGTTTTCGGGTAATATCCATATTGAGCCATTCACGAAAATTGCATGATAGGTCTTCAGCCTTACTGCCTTAGTGCATGTGTGGTAACATTTATAATTATTTATTAACTGATCAAATTCTATTTTTATACACATATATGATTCACAAAATTTATCTACTTTTTAACTACATATTTATTGGAATCCATCGCTTATAATGGATAATACACCTTCACTATGCAGTGCAGCCAGACTTTCACGATGAAAACGGTTCAAATTTTTAATAAAATTTCATGAGATAAGACCCTTGTAAAAAGCCTCTTGCTTCAAATTTCTTAATGTTTGCCCACTTCTAGTTTAATAAAATTAGACATCTAAGAGCATGTTTGGCTAAGTTTAAAATTCAATTAAAATTGAAAATATAGCAGTTGTTGGGTCTCACTCGTCTAATAAAAGTAAAAAAATAAAAGCTAATTTTTCAATTTTAATCCATTTTTAATTTTTACCGAACATGTCCTAAATACCTCAAGGCGATGATTTAATGCAAATCTGTAGATTACTTGTGTAATTATAACGAGCTATTAAGCATGAGTGGATCTACAATGCATACCTGTCTTGTGTAATTATAACGAGCTATTAAGCATGAGTGGATCTACAATGCATACCTGTCCCCACACTAAATTTAAAATACGTAATAGTTTTCAATTTTGCCTCCACAATTAAATGTTTTTGAAATTTACCCTCCTCCACCCCATCCCATAACTCTAAAATTGTAGCTCCATCCTTGATATTAAGAGTGAAATTTCTAATGAAATGATAAATTGAAAATTAACCTTGAGGGGTTGTTCAATTGGTCAGGCTTTAGGTTTGCTCCCCAATGGTCACCAATTCGAATTTTCTCATGGCCACTGAGGTGAGTACCCGGCCATAAATTTCAGGGCCCCATGAAATTAGTCGAGGTGCGTGCAAGTTGACCCGAACATCCACGATTATAAAAAAAAAAAAATTTGAAAATTAGAGTTACAATTTTCCCATAGTAATAACTACAAGGATTTTATTTCAAAGTTTAAACACAGCCCCTTTTTAGGCTTTGTAATTTTAATTTTATGAATTTTCTTTATTTCTAGAAAGGCATACCTTTCTCCAACATAATAATAAAAAGGCCTACACACCAATTGGGCTAAAAATATCCAGCCTCAGTCGAGCCATTTCGATTGGCCCAAAGATGTTACTTCTGGGGCCATTTGGTCCATGTTTGATCATCATTCGAGATTTATCCAATTCATAGTTGGACCATGAAGGATTCTTTTGATGCACTAAACAATCCTTAAATTATCTATGTTGGTAGAGATTTTTTGAGGACGAAATTTGTAAAAATTATTTTAATGAAAATATGATTTCCGAAATCATAAATCACTAATTCTAAAACCATAATCCTATTATAACTACCAAAAATCATACGCGTTACAGAAAATGATTACATGATTGTTAATAAAAAGTACTAAAGTCTTCAATCACTCTTGAATTAAATGAATTTCAATTATTTATAAATCTTGAAAAGTTTATTTATTTTGATGAATATTACCCTAAAACATTGGACTAAACGGTGAATTCTAATTACTATATTTCTTAATTAAATAAACGTGTGTTTAATAGATTTGGCAACAAAGAACAAAACGTGCTTTGTCCAAACATAGGACTTCCATACCTATTTACCAACTTGTGTAAGCCACTTGCTAATATATAATTACAAGTCAAACGAAGACAATTTATTAAAATCGTAGCCACTGCGATAATTAGCCTAAATTAAAGCAATTGAGTATATTCATTACGTCGAGTTCAATTAAAAAAAAAAATTGTCGAAACATGGATATTTATCATCGACATGTTGAGACCCGACCCGAGCCATAACCTTTAGAAATTGTTTCAAATCTTCCGACGAGTTGTTTTCTTATCAAGTATTTGATCAAAAGGGAAAAAATTAATTGGTCTTCGGCACTAATTAAATGCAAGTTTTTTATGAGAAACTAATTAAAATGTCAGACAACATTTATTGTTATCGAACCATGCTAGAGTTACAGTCTTGATTCACAGTTTTTTTCACAGCCCTCTCACATGGGGTATGACCTGCGATTGTGGATCTCACCCCCATGTGAGAGGGTTGTGAAAAAAACTGTCAACCAAACATGTACATTCAGCTTTATTGTTATCAATAACGGCAAGTTTGGCGCATTGAATGAAATACAATAACTAATTTTTTTTTAAAAAAAAATTATATACTTCTCTTTTGTAGTCATGTCCAATTCACACCAACTTTGTAAATTTAGCGACACGAATAAAAAATTATTTTTTTATGATAATGTAAATAAACATTTTTGGTATCTCTGTGTATCAATTTAATTCAGGTGAATTGAATAACTTGATCACATGTCCACAGTTGAAAAAATGGGAGTCCAATTGCAACAGGACCCAATCAGTGGCTGGAATTAAGCTAAAACGAAGACCACTCTATTATTGGCCATAAATTATGTTAGAAAAATTGTTTGCAGCTTGAGACAATAACGAAGAAGAAAATGTTGTAAGAAATCTATCACCAACAAGACAAATTTTCAAGTCTAATAATAGGTAGTTATTGTATCAAGAATTCATTAATTTATGCTTGGCTAAGCTTAAAAATAAAGTTAAGTTATTTAAATTTATATTAGATGGAATGTTAAAGAATAATTCTACATCGAATAATTATGAAAAAATATATATACCAATATATAAAAATTTAGATTATACACATGTACACCATTTTTTTTTACATAATCTTTTAACTACACTCATAATAGGGTGCGCAGACCACACATTTGAGAGTTTTTTATTCATGCGGGCCTGCGCACTTGTCAGAGGGTGGCACATTTTTGGTAACCCTCATTCGGTACAAATGGAACTATCCTAAAAATTTAGGCCACTCATTGCCTCTTAAGATGGAACCACACGTCTTAATATGGTTTCAAAGTTTATTAATCTGAAACGAACAATTTGATTCAATTAAAACTCAAATGAGTATACGAATTTCAATATCAATCTGCTCAAAGATGTCATCTTTTTGCAGGGACAAGTTAATTGATAAATTTCATATCAGATAATTATCAACATATAAGAGTTTGAACTACTTCTCTTACATAATGTTGATACCTTAGTCTTAATACGAGACAATTAATAAAACTTCGGAATTGGTTAAATCTCCCGAAGAATTGTTTTACTATCAAATGAAAAGGAGTAATTAATCTTCGCCTCTCAAAGGCAACACATTAAATAGTCGCATATTTGGTATGTTGAATAGAATACGATAATTGAAAATTATTCATAGTGTCCAATCATGTCGATTTCAGTTCAAAGTTCTAAACATTTGCACAATAAATAAATAAATAAATAAATAAAATTCAATAAGAAATGATCACATGACATGTCCATAGTTAAAAATAAACAATACACAAAAGCGAACGGTGTCCAATTGCAGAAGGAGAACCCAATCAGCGGCTAAAATTAAGCTATAAAGGAATATCACTCGATCGTTGGCCGTAAATTAGGTTAGAAACTACACGATGAGAAATAATAAAATATTGTTAGAAAATTTTTACAAATTTTGGCAATTTTAAGTACTAAATTAGCTCTCTTTCGACGGATCCTCGCAGATAGGTAGTTATTTTATCGTGTTGTAGGATAATAAGAAACAATTTGTTATCTAAACTCGACTATTTTTCTTCCTTAACTTCGTTTTTTTAAGCTATCTACTTCGATCTTGTTAAAGACGTGGAAATATTTCCATATTTTAGTGATATCACGATATTTTTCTATTTTTTAGAATATTATTTTCATAGTATTATGATTGTGTAATTAGATGCGACTCCTACATTGAGGTAGTTTAGGGTTTTAAAGAATGTCGTAAACATCGATCATAACTTATTTGTGGCTAGCCAAGCTTCTATATAACTTGATAGACCTATGTACATAGCTAGATAACAAGGGTTTTCATGACATTAAGTGATAATCTCTACTTGCTAGCTCCTAAAATTAACTTGTATAAAAATTTATCAACTTTGTAAAAGTTCGACGAGTGATTCAAAATATATCGAAGTAGATAAAAAGTATCACGATTAAGTTTCAAATTCATTAATTTCGAAAAATTATTCACATAAGGGCACATTAATGTAAAAGGAAGCAAGTTTGTCCGTGAATAGAACATAAAAGTAATCATTTAAACTTTTAAATAAGATAATTTAGTCGATCGTTTGCTCTATCGACAGCACTATATGTCATATGATCATGAGTTAAAACATCAACTCATTCATATATAATAACTCAAATATACTTTCATCATTCATATGATCGTGTTATATTTCATAATATAACACGAGGATTATTTTTTCTCATGGTGATACATCATCGTACCACACATGAGTTACAACATCTATTAAACATTATCCTATTAATAAGGACGGTTGCCAATGTAATTTCCCGGAGGATCATAGCTACATATGACAAACAACCAACCATTATGGCACTGAACTCTAGCACAACCAAGATGAGTCGAGTCACGCCAAACAACCTGAGTGTAATGCAGGCATTCACCTCCGACGCAAGAATTCGATCCATAATCATAGCAAGATTTCTCCCCAACCCACATATTCACGGCATCCACCGACGACAACCTCCCGTACCCCTCGGCTAGGTTTTCGCCGTAGGGACCTTGTGAATGCTCCAAATTGCAATCCCCATATCTTTTGTTTGCATAGTTTAAGGCATAGTTAGCAACTGTGTGATTCCATGCGAGGGGCTGCACCCCAACTTCTGCACGAGCCTTGTTGTGGGCATCAAGAAAATCTTGAGGAGAGTTTTGGGATGTGGAGAAATGAGCAAAAAAAGTTAAAGCTATGAAGGGATAAATGATCAAAATTGAATTAATTCTAGAGAAATTCATTTTGATCTTGATTTTGTGAAAATGGGACATGTTACTTGGTAGGGAGGGTAGTGTATTTATAGACTTGTTTTCAAAAGTGTTAGCCAAAGACTAGAAGGGTTTAAATAGTTGGTCCGCTGAGGCCTTAAAGGGTTGGATTAAAGTAATACAATGTGCCTTTTTGTTCTTATTTTTCAAATAAGTAAAATATAATTATATTTTCACTCGCGAATGTGTTGGGTACGTTGAACTTAGGGTGCATTTGATTATCAATATTTTTCATGAAAAATATGTTTTCTCCATTCAAATTTGTACCTTTGTGCTGTTTGATTGACATTTTTTTCTATGGAAAACATTTTCCTACTTTTGATTATGTGATCATATTTTCCGCAAAATTAATAAAAATATTTTCTTTTAGGGGGTAGGATTTCTCTCTTATCTATCCAATATGTTTCATCTACCCACCAATAAAAAATGGACAAGTATAATATTTTATAAGGTGAAAACTAAATCAATCAAACATATTTAATTAATAATTTCCATACAAATAAGTTATAAGCAATTGAATTGCTTAGAATTTATTTATTTTTATACAAATTTCATACTCGCAATCAAACGCACCCTTATTGTCATTATGAAATACTAACATGTTGTAAAGTTAACAGTTGTTCTATTTAAGGGTGTCCTCAAATAAGATTTTGATTGATTTAGAAAAATTTTAAATTCTAATGAATTTCATGAATTTGAATATATTTCCCCAAAATCCTAAGAATCTCATTAAAATGGTAAAATTTCAAAACAATTTGTTATGTGTATTTTTACTTGAAATTTATCCAAATCTTTTAAAATCCTTCCATTAATGAAATCCTTAAATTCATGAATTCTTGAGGACTTGTAAATTATAAAGGATTTTATTAAAATTCATTAAAATCTCAATTAGGGACACTTAAATTTAGAAGAATTTTTAAAATTCATCAAAATTTTAGTTGATGACACTTCATTCCGGCGTATCAAACATGTTGTTCATGTATTTTGACTTACTGGAAAAATAACTTACGAATCAACAATAAATTGACTATTCTCGAAGTACTTTTCTACCGAACTCTTGTTTGAATGTGTTTCAAATAATTAAATTTAGGATCAAATTACACACTCCTAAATTTCTTGTAGAAGTGAAATATTGGATTGGAGAGATATATAAATCCATTTAATGTAATTTATTTCTTAATTTTGAAACTAAACTTAAATGTTTTATGAGGATATTAATAATATCTAGATAAATAGATAATTTGAGGACAAAAAAGATTTGTTCTTATTTGCACTCAACATGTCAACATACATGTGTATATATAATATTACTTGATGAATAATAATCTCGTGAATGATAGTGATATAATTGAATTTTATTCACACAATTTTCTGAATTATCCTTTGATAAATCTCATGGGATTAAAGAAATGTAACTTTGGTTAATTAGAAATCAAATCTTCATTAATGGATTTATTGTTCTTTTTTTATAGGACTAAAATCAGATTTTTAGTAGATTTTTCTGTCTTAACATAGGTTTTGACGTAAGGGAATTCAACCACTTAACTCGATACCTATCGCTATTCATTTGAGGCTTTATTTCGAAATAGGACCCACCCATGAGGTTGTATAAGATTTTTCTATTTCGAAAATATTGATATTAACCTTGCTTTCAGAAATAGACTATCCAATTATCCATAGAAAAAATGAAATAAAATGTACAATCAATAATACCAAAAACAGTAAAGTCATGTGAACCAATATCTGCACTAGCGGCGGAGAATAAAAAATTCGAAGGATACGAAAATTATTTTTCACGCCATTTCAAAAGTACATCAGCGATAATTACGGCATGTGCTTTCTTTTTTTACCAATTTAGTCGTGCTTTGGTGCTCATAGTTTTCAAACTCTTTTTGTTAAGGATCGTCTTCAATTACACGTTCATACAATAAAATATTCTACTCGTAAACTTAGTGCCTGTTTGTCTACAATTATTGTGATGAAAATTGTGTAATGAATAGTATTTTTTGGAGAATGTATGGCTAAAATTGAAAGAAACTTTATTGATTTATGTGTAGAATATTTTAATATTTGAATGTGTGGTAGAGATTGATTACTGTAGAAAACAATGTTTTGAAAATGATAGACAAACATGAGCTTAATCATACATCCTCCTCAGAATGCTATTCAAAACTCTCTCTCTCCCTCTCTCCCTCTTTTTGAAATAATGTCGGGCTTAGCTTTGAGCTTTTCTCCCAATATTATAGAATCGATAACTGATTGGGGTTTTTAATTCAATAATCATAATTATTGTTGCAAGACTTTTGGTGGATGAGAATCTCAAAGTCTACGTTGTTGATATTTATTTACAAGAGTAAATAGTACATAACGTCCCCATTTTTTATTATCATTGTGAAAAAAGTCCTCATTTTTCATTTTTTAACATTTTCATCCTTATTTTCGCATTTCATTGTGTAAATTGTCATTTTCATCCATTTTCTCAATTAAAAATTATGAAATGATGAATATACTCCTTATCTTTAAATAAAACAAAAAGAAAGAGAAAAAACTAATTGTTATTATAGTCCTAAATTTTTTTAAAAGTGCAAATGAATCTCAAATAAATTATTAAGAGGGTAATTAGCACATAATGTTTCTACCTTTTACTATTATTGCGAAAAAATCTATATCTTTCTTTTTTGAATTTTCACCCTTAATTATATATGTGATTGTGTAAACTATCATTTTTATCAATTTCATTCAATTTCTTAACAAAGAGTTGTGAAATGATGAATATACTATCATATTTAAATAAAAAAAGCTAAAGAAATAATTGTAGCTATAGTTCCAAATTTTTAAAAAAGTGCAAATGAGTTCCAAATAAATTATTAAAAATTTAAAAATTAAATTATTTTTTTTAAAAAAAAATGCAAACGAGCCCCAAATAAATTATTTAAAAAAAATTAGAAATTGGTTTTTTCTTTAAAAATTGCAAACGAGTCTCAAATAAATTATTAAAAAAATAGAAATTAAATTCTTTTTTAAAAAACGTGCAAACAAGTCTCAATTAAATTTATTAAAAAATTTTAAAATTAAAAACAAATCCCAAATAAATTATTAAAAAAAATTATCATTTTTAAATAGGAGAGTATATTTATCATTTTACAACTCTTTAGTGAGAAATTAGATGAAAATGAATAGAAATGATGATTCGAGCAATCAAATGTATAATTAATAATGAAAATACGAAAAATAAAAAATAAAAGGTAGGGACATTTTCCGCTATAATAGTGAAATGTAGAAATATTATGTGTTGATTACCCTTTTAATAGGAGAAAATTACCTGGTACCCTGCATTTAAGTTTCCAAATTCAAAAATCAGGTGTAATGTTTGTTTAATAAAAAATTAGGTCTTAATTCAATTAACAATTAAAACCCTAATTTCCAACCCCGTCCCTCATTCATCTCCATCTCTGAATCGCCCCCGTCTCTCTTCTCTCTCCCTCCTCGCTCTTCTCTCTCTCTCTCTCTTGTCCTTCATCGCGTTGTCGCTGGAGACCTGTGAGCAGCGGCGAAGCTCCCTTGCGATAGCTGGCAAACCTGAGAATCGCGATAGCCAACAGCATCGTGCCGAGATCCGTTATTTTACTTCGTCGTTTTTTTTTTTTTGGCTATTGGGCGTGGTTGTGGTGCTGTTTTTTTTAGCCTGATTTTGGATCTATTTTATGGTGGTAATCAATCTGTTGCTGTGGCGGTGTTATTGAGGTGATTTTTGTGATGGTTGGTTGGTGGTGGATTTCGAATGGTGGTGATGGTGCTAAGTGCTAACGGTGATGATGATTGAGATTGGTGGTGGTGGTGGTGGTGCGACGGTAGTGGTGGTGCCACAGTGGCGTTGTTGGTATTGTGGTGGTGCCGACAATGACGGGGTGAGGATTGCCGTATTGGCAGTGGCGGTAGTGTTGATGGCGTCAATTTTTGAATTTGCAACAGGATGATTCAAAACTAGAGACAGAAGATGAGGACACTGGGGCACAGGTGGCTCCTATCGTCAAACTGTAGGAAGTGGATGTTACCACTGGCGAAGAAAATGAAGATATCCTTCTCGATCTGAAGGCAAAGCTGTATAGATTTGATAAGGAAGGGAGCCAATGGAAA